TTTTTGTTTTGTTTTTGAGACAGGGTCTATGCCAATTTGCTGGGGCTGGCCTCAAACTTGAGACCCTCCTGTCTCAGTCTCCTAAATCTCTAGGATTATAGGTAGGTACCACCATCTCAGTTTTTGGTACTTTTTCAACAATCTGCCTAGAATATAATAAGGATTCTTTATCATATCAAAATAAGTTCCTGTGTTTCATGCAATCATTATTGTATCCTGGTTATCTAAAATTTCGTCTTCTCAAGTTAAAAGAGTTAATCTTTCACGGTCTTGTTATTGCTTATATTTACTTTTATCTTTAATTATTTTACTGGTATGGCAGATGGAATTCCCTGCTTCAGTTCAAGTCAGCCAAGCTCTACAACTGAGCTACACTCTCCATCCGTGTCACAATAATCTCAATGATTTTAATGTCATTTCAATTAAATAGGTAACTAAGTTAGGGCTGAGGATATAGCTCAGTGGTAAAGCTTATAAGGCCATGAGTTAAATCCTTAGCACTGCAAAAGAAAAAAAAAAATTCTGTATAACCTTTCTCAAGTTACATTTGTATCGGTAAAAGTTAATTTAAGGACTTCAGAAATTGGGTGAAGTCCCTAGTAATTTGTCAATGCCCATTATATATCTTCATATAATGTTAGCAGTCACACAGTCATAATTATAATCATTATTTAAAAACTTGGTGGGGGGCTGGGGATGTGGCTCAAGCGGTAGCGCGCTCGCCTGGCATGCGTGCGGCCCGGGTTCGATCCTCAGCACCACATACAAACAAAGATGTTGTCTGCCAAATACTAAAAAATAAATATTTAAAAAAAAAAAAAAATTCTCTAAAAAATAAAAACTTGGTGGGGTCACCAAAACAATTTTGCATCATTTTGTAAAGAACTCTTATTAAACCTTTAATCACCTCACGTTCAGTCTTTAATCATCACAAATAGCTGTTTTACTCTGATGCTTTCTTAAAAGCTCTTGCAATCAATTACAGGCCAAAGTGCTTCGTCTCCAATACCACGGAAAGGCCTCTGAAGGCAACTCTGAGGCACAGGCTTCTGATGGTATCACTTTGAGACCATGCCACTGGGCTGGGACAGGGTCTCCAGAATTCCAGCTGAGAATCTCATGGGGTCATGATACTGGGGTCAAAACAAAAATTAGGTATAGGGACTGGAGGTGTAGCTCAGCAGAAAAGTGCATGATTAGCATGCATGAGGCTGTGAATCTTCACCACCAGCAAACACACACACACACAAACACAGCCTTTCTCTGGGGTGGGGGCTTAGCTCAGTGGTAGAGCACTTGTCTAGCATGCTCAAGGACCTGGGTTCAATCCCCAGCACAGGAAAAAAAAAAAATGTGCTTTGATTATCTTTGCTCAAAAAGAGGTTATTTTTTGTTCAACATCTCTAATAATGAAAGAAATGCAAATCAAACCTATTCTAAGATTTCCTCTCACACCAGTCAGAATGGCAGTTATCAAGAATACAAACAACAATAAATGTTGACAAGGATGTGGTGCTGGTGGGACTGCAAATTGGTGCAACCAATCTGGAAAGTAGTATGGAGATTCCGTAGAAAATTTGGAATGGGACCACTATTTGACCCAGCTACCCCACTCCTCAGTCTATACCCAAAGGACTTAAAATCAGCATACTATAATAATGCAGCCACATCAATGTTTACAGCAGCTCAATTCACAAGAGCTAAACTGTAGAACCAACCTAGATGCCTTTCAATAAATGAATGGACAAAGAAACAGTGGAATATTACTTAGCATTAAAAGAGAATAAAATTATGGCATTTGCAGGTAAATGGATAGAGTTGGAGAATATCATGCTAAGTGAAGTAAGCCAATCCCAAAAAAACAAAGGCAGCATCTGATAAGTGGATGCTGATCCATAATTGTGGGGGGTGGGGGAGAAATGGAGGAACTGTGATTTGGCAAAGGGGAGAGGGCATGAGGGCAGGAAAAATGGTAGAATGAGTTGGACATCATTACCCTAGGTACATGTATGACTGTACATATGGTGTGACACTTCATCATGTACAACCAGAGAAATAAAAATTTGTGCTGCAACTATGTACAATGAATCAAAATGCATTCTGCTGTCATATATACTTAATTAAAATAAATTAATTAATTAAAAAATTTAAAAAGAGGTTATTTTTAAGTTAGGTTTTTTTTTTTGTGGTTGTTGTTTTGGTACCGGGGATTGAACTCAGGGGTACTCAAACACTGAGGCATCTCCCCAACCCTATTTTGTATTTTATTTAGAGACAGGGTCTTTTTTTTTTTTTTAGAGAGAGAGAGAGAATTTTTTAATATTTATTTTTCAGTTTTCGGTGGACACAACATCTTTATTTTATTTTTATGTGGTGCTGAGGATCGAACCCAGCGCCCTGCGCATGTCAGGCAAGCACATTACCGCTTGAGCCACATCCCCAGCCCCAAGAGACAGGATCTTGATCAGTTGCCTAGTGCCTCGCTGTTACTGAGAATGGCTTTGAACTTGTGATCTTCCTGCCTCAGCCTCTCAAGCCACTGGGATGGCGGGCGCCACTGCGCCCAGCTATTTTTATGTTTTGATGGAGAAGTATAATACACCTTTATAGGTTATCAGATTCTGATTTTTTTTTATGATCTACCTATAAATTGGGTTGGACCTTGATTTCTTATTCATTTTGCCAGCCCTTAAATACTCAGATACACTTTCCTTCAATATTTGGCTACAGAGCACCAAAATGTTGTTTTTGATTTTTCTTCTTCCATTCTGACTTGGTGTCACTGAGAACAAAACCTGACAGTCTGAATCTTTACTGGGACTCGAGCTGGCTGTCCTGCCCTATCAGAATCTGAAAAAGCACTGCAGGCTAAAGCCAGGCAATTTGATAATAGACTTCAAAGACCTCATCACCACACTAAATAGTCTATGTGCAACCGTCATGCCTAGAGCTGCTACCACATAAGCCACGAAGTCCTCTCCAACTCCTACAAGTTTCATACTCTGCTCCAAGAAATAACTACAATGCTGACACTGATGTCTATGCCTTCACCACACACATTCAGACTTCAAAATCTGGGCAATCCATGAAGTTGCTACTGCTGTCCACATTCTACCACTTAAAAAGACAGTTAAGAGGGACTGGAGTTGTGGCTCAGCGGTACAGCGCTTGCCTAGCATGTGAGGCACTGTGTTCGATTCTCAGCACTGTATATAAATAAATTAATTACATAAAGGTCCATCAACAAGTAAAAAAAAAAAAAATTTTTTTTTAAAAGACACTTAAGAGTCAGACACCCAGAAATTACTACCCGCTAGTCTCAAAAGCTGGGTTTAGGCACACACCTGTAATCCCAGCAATTTAGGAGGCTAAGGCAGAAGAATGGCAAGTTCAAAGCCAGACTCAGCAACCCAATGAGGCCCTAAATAACTTAGTGAGACACTGTCTCAAAATAAAAAAAATTAAAAAGGGCTGGGGATGTGGCTCAGTGGTTAAGCGCCCTTCAGTTCAATTCCTGATACCCCGCCCCCCAAAAAAAGCTGGGTTTAGAGGTCAACTCCAACCATTAACCTTTATTTTTCTATTTTCACTGAAATGCTCCTCATTAAATACCTTATCACTTACACCATACAGCAAATATCTTCATCCTAGTTCAGCTAGTCCTTCACAAACAAAAGGCTATGGAACAGAAAATGGACTTCTATTATTAGGGAAGAAGAATGTCTCTTGAACAAGAACACTGACAAGATCCTCTCTGTCCAAACTCCAACCATTAAGGCTCCTTCTAAATACTAAGTTTCTAATAGCTCATGACTGCATCCCTAGGATAGCCCTAACCCCCTCAAAATGCCTAAGAAAATTCAAGAATGCAGCAAAATTCAAGGGCCCCGGGGCAAACCCATTTGGCCTTCCCAGGAACCCACCCTCCTTCCCTGATTTTTGTAAATGCTTACTTCCTTGACCCTACTGCACTCTTTATTCCCCCATACCCCTGTGAAACACTCAGTCACCTCTGCACAAATCAGAATGGAGCTCAACTCTTTCCCCTACTATTACTAGTTCCTGAGTAAAATTTGTTTTTGCCACATCAACTAGTGTCGAGTTGTATTTCTCTGTGATATGCTGTCCTCCTCATTGAGCCTTGCAGGGTACCCCAGAGTCCCTCCAGGAAGCAGCAAGTACTGAGGCATGGAGAACCATGTTTAATAAATGCAGTAGGGCATCAAAATCTCTGGCTGGAAAAATCTGAAATGCTGATCTGCTAGCAGGGCAGGTGTGGCGAGCCTCCTGCAATAACACAAAGCTCAGCCTTGGGGGGTCCTGGACTCTGATTGGTCCCCCTTCCAGGTCAGGAAGCCACTCGCTTGCATACTCTTCCTGGGTCCCTAAAACTCTCTGATCTGAGGGTCTGATCCTTATCTAAGGACCAAGTAGGATCCTCCAATGGGTCGGGTCCTGGTTTTGCCACATCCTCACCAGGTCAAGCTATGCTCCAGGGATAGACCTACCCTTTCAGTCTGTAAGTCTTGATCCCCACCCGTGGTAGAAGAACAGATTTCCTACCCTGTCTCGAGGCTCCAACTCCAGCACAGATCTTCAAATAACCACCTCCCCATTACACACACGCACACACACAGTCTGGTGCCCAGACCCTGTCCAGAGACCCTCACAGAAGATCAGAACCCCTAACGGCTATCCAAATTCCCCATCCTTCCAAAACTCCCCACTTTAAATACATCTTCCAACCCAGGTCCGCAGACCCACGCCCAAGGGCAGATTCCTACACTCCGGCCCAAATTCCCCAGCTCAGGTTGGAATCACCAACCCAGGTCCGGAGACTCTCCTACTCTTTCACTGCCGGCCAAATACCCCACCCATAAGCCCATCCCTTGGCTCACCAGCTTACTCACCTCGCTCAAGGCCGAGCTCCCTGGACTGCCGGACGCGCTGGGCGCAGGCAGCGCGGAGGGCAGCCCCGGCAACTGAGAGGTCCCGACACCATGGCGGCGATGGCGGCGGCGATGGCGGCGGCTCTGCGGGGGCCCGGCCGGCGCTTCCGGTGGCGGACGCAGGCCTTGGCGGGAGGGGTGCGGGGTGCGGCTCGGGGCGTGGCAGGTAGGGTGGGCGACCTAGGGAGCGACCGAATCCCTGAGGCTGGGGGCGGGGGTGCCCACGTGGGGGTGTCCGCGTGGCCTGGTACACGGTGTAGTGCGTAGGTGTCGACGTGGGGGGTGTTCTTGTGCGGGCGGGCGTGCCCGTGCTGACCCTGGGTAGGGCATGTATCCATAGGAGAGTACTCCCGGGTTGGGGGACGGGGTATCCGTACCGAGATTGTTCTGTGGGGGTGTTGGCTGCTTCTAGCTAGGTAGCCTCCTCAGATGGGGAAACAGGTTGGTGGACTTGCGGAGATCATCCAGTACTGGCTGCACCTGCAACCTCCAGGAGCTGTCTCTCCCCACCCCCACCCGCCGCCACCCCAGCTCAATATTAACTGTAGTTCTGACTAGGATGATGTCCCCACTCTTGGGGTCATCTGGCACCCCACGGGCCACACCATGAGCACCTCCTCATCGAACCACTGGCTATGGTAAGGAATGAATGAGAGGAAACTAAGACCAATGGGTTCTGGGGACCCAATGCACATGGGAGTCTGTGTTAGGGAAAGACTGAGCCTCATTGACCAAATTAGGACAATAATCATTAACTTTAAGTGGCCAGAAGTCTGGATCCTTATTAGGACTCAAGTTGTCTTGCAGCTGTCCTGTCCCATCCAAGCTGAAAAAGCACTGCAGGCTAAAGTCAGACAATTTGATATAGACTTCAAAGAACTCATCACCACACTAAATAATCTGTGTGCAGAGGATAGGCAAGTCACTCAGAACAGTTCACACTGCACCCTACAGAACTGGCAACAGTGCCACCACATCTGGGATGGTGAGGCCAGTCCCATGCATGAACCTGCACAGTAACCACCCCACCACCATTGCCCCAGCGCTATTCCCTGGACTTTAGTGACAGAGCTCAACTCTCCCCCATGGGAGTGAGTGTGGAGGGCTGTGAGTAAGGACACATCACGGCATCTTCACAAAAATGGCTGCCTGGGAAGCAGAGTGGCTGGCACTCAGCCAGCAGTTGATTCAGGAGGGATTGCTGCTGACTGCATATATGAATGGGCAGAGCTGTTAGTGTTGGAACCTTGGGATGCCTTGGGGCTGAAGGTGGCCCTACAGAGCCCCAGGAGGTGGTCACCATGTCCTGAGGTGAAAACCTAGAGGAACCTAAGTCTGCTCTTATGGGTTACCTATGCTGACCCTGAGACTTTGGAAAGTGCTATCTTTTGGAGCCTCCTTGTTGCATATGTCAGGTAGGAACATTCATATGGATTAAATGCACCCATATCAGTGAAGCTATTACCCTGTTTAGTGGCATTAAAGATCCATTAGTGCATTAACAGGAGCAGTGCTTGTGGTCACACATCCAGGGCCTTCAGGCTGGTGGGTAACTGTGGCCTTGGGGCCAGGCATTTCATTTTAGCTGGGCAGGAGGCACTGCTGCCCTGAGGATTCTGTTCCTGGAACCCAGGGAGTGCTGGCAGTAAGTGGAAGACCCCAGGACCTTCTGGAGTCATAGTCTAGGCCCTGGAGAAGGTGCCAACTCTCTTAACGATGATTCCAGAATCCAATTTTGAGTCTCCTCCATTTCAGCCTGACAGTTTCTCCTTTCAGAGAAGAAACATCTTCCCTTTTGAGCTTGAGGGAACAGCTGATATAACTCCTGAATGGGAACTAGAATGACAGCACTGCTGGAGTCATCTGTCACTCTAACACCTGCTAACAGAAAAGAGCTTGAAGCAGGAAGAATAGTTTTTCAGGAAACTCCTGAAGGTGACTCCCTTAGGGGTGGCCAGCCCACCTACAGGTACACAACCATTTTGCAGGTCTTCTTACCGTTGTTAGAACATTGTACCACTCATTTGGTCTTTGCCTTACTCACTGGGCTCCTGTTCTTAGCTGGCCCTGTACTAGGCATTGGATCCAGAAAGGAACAGAAAATTAAAAAATAATGTGGTAAGAAGGTAGAGATGAGGCAAAGACAAGTTCTGGAGCCAAGCCCTGTGGGCAGGGAGGTTGTGACCGGCTCAAGTGATTGAAGGCCAGGTTGTTAGTTTTCCCATCAAGTAATACCTGCTGTGCTCAGTCCCACCTCATCCACCTTTGGAGTACTTGCTCTCAACAGGCTACTCAGAGCCTCCCAAACACTCGGAGATATCTTGCACTTGCAAACTGCTCTACTGCAGGACCTTTTTCCAAAAGTTAATCAGGCTGAGAGTGCTCCTAGTTATGCACAGGGAGATAGCAAAGGGCCCAAGATAAGTCCACAATTCACAAACAGCCAGTCCTGTTTGCTGGCTGATAGCAGGCAGGCAGAGGGCAGGCAGAGGGCTTTGGGGCAGGACAACTCTGGACAACCCGCTCTGGTTACAGGAAGGACAGGTATTTGCAATGGAAGGTAGGACTCTCCAGGACGAAGCATTGCTTCCCCTACCCTCAATCCCTTGAGCCTCTGCCCTGCTCCCACCTCATCCCTAGTAGCAGGAGAGGAGAGAGACCCTGACCCATATTTTTGTGATTCCTGGAGCTCTGTGGCAGTCTTCCCTTCTACCACCAGTTGTCCTTGGTACTTTTGGCTCATACTAAAACCATCAGAATAATTTACAGCTTGTCAGGCTTTTTCAGAGTCCTTGAATTGAACATGGAATTGGGTGTGCTTTATAATGGCTGCTTGAGTTAGCTGTGACTCCTTTGTGTTCATTCGTTCAAATAATGGCTGCTGGACAGGACTTTGAGTGGGTCTAGTTGTGAGGCAGGCCAGTTGCAAGCCATAGGCCTCCTTCAGGCTCCAGTTCTGTGTTCCTATAAGAGTACAGGCCCTGTTTGCTCAGCTAGAGACCCTGAGGTGCAAGGAAGCCCCAGCATATCCTCTTCATCCTTGCCAGACCAAGAAGGCTGGTGGCTGCAAAGACAGACACAGCTTTTCCCCCACAGATGCTAGATTTTGATGCTGGTAGGGGAAGATGCCTCAGCCTTGGATGGCAGGCACTTTGGTCATGGGACCCCTGGGCCTTACTTGGAAACAGTGGCCAACTTCAGAGGATGGCATTTCAGGCAGGCTCATGTCTGTAGAGGTACTGAAGGCACTATTTGTTTATATCCTGGCCTGGTACCAGTCCTCACCATGCCCTAACCCTGATACTTTTCTATTATTCCTTCCTCGATGGAGTGGCCTGATGCCTGGTGCTGGGTATCCCCAACTTCAGGCCCAGGTTAAAGCATTCTCCCCTCTCCTTCCTTCATCTTCACCCATCACCTGTTACTTGCCTGCCTTTCATACAGCAGCTTGCAGAGTGGAGGAGTGAGACAGCAGACTGGTCAGAAAGGCTCTGAGCAGCCCTCTGTGCTGTGAGTAAGCTATGGTGTGAGCTTCCAAAAGGGATCCCAGGGAGGAAGCCTGAGCCCAGGCAGCTCTACTGGTGTCCAGGGTCCTTTCCCTCCTATACTTTACCATGTAGTCTGGCACACTGAAACACCTTTGTTTGTCACCGACTTCCATGTGGCGGGGGCTGTACTTTTTCTTCTTGCTAACTTCTAACAAAGGATCACCTTTACAACTGGAACAAACATGAACTCAAGGAAAATATTTTAGTTCTGTCTGGCTCAGAACACTGAAGGTTAAATTCTGAGAAGTGCTGCCAGGGTGTGAGTGGTAGTGTGGTAGGGAGAATGGTCTGCAAAGGTGTTCATGCACACCTGCTGCCAACTTTGCCTCACTTTGCTTGGATTCTGGCTTTGTGTGGAAGACATGTATGGAGTCACTTTCTGCTCTGATTCATGATGCTGATGTGTTTTCAGCCCTAACTGCCACAGGATGGAATTTTCCATCCTAATATGGAATCTCCCATCCTGATAAAATAAATGCTGCACCATGTTTAAACAGAGACCCTTTGGAGATCACAGGGGCTCTTCTGGTTCTGGTTTCTTTACTTCTCACCTCATTCTTTCCTTAGCAGGACAACAGGACTATGATCTCCTGGTGATTGGTGGGGGATCTGGTGGCTTGGCTTGTGCCAAAGAAGGTATGTATGTCCCTGGAGAGGTGGCATTGTGGACGTGGGCCTCAGTATCCACAAGTAGAGTACAGCTGACCTGCTTGGTCACCCAAGCAACCTCCTAGTTATGCCCTGCTTCCCACCATGGCATAGTGTGGTGTCTGCCACACATGGCAGTCACAGCAGTACTTGAAGTCTGAGCACAGTCTTTACTCAAAGTGGAGGTCCTTGGGCCTCACAGGATCTGACCTTATCCATCCAATTTCAGCAGCTACCCACCCCCACTGCCCTGCCTCCTTACTGTTCTGCACATCCTTTCAGAAGTGCTTATGTCCTTCTTGCCCTGGCAGCTTGATTTGTTGGTCTGTTGTTTGCCCACCAGGTTAGCTGGGGGTCTCACTCATCTCTCTTCAGTCTTTGCTGAGATGGCTATACTTAGAACTGCACACTCCCACTGTATAATCCCTGTCACTAGCTCCTCTTCCTTGTTCTTAGTGCTTTGCCTTCCCAAAGAGACCACAGTTGCCTCTGCAAATCATGTCTGGACCTAGGTCTGGTACTCAGTAGGTACTCAGTAAAGACATGGTGGATGATACATCCAGAGACCTTACCTTTCAGTTCACTGATAATCTAGTAGTGCAGTTCACTGGGACTCATTGAACTGCTATAGGAAACTTGCAGTCTAATTGTTGATCCCTTCCCGCCTCCTCTCTTCTTTTCTTTTTTTTTTTTTTTTTGGTACCGGAGATTAAATTCAGGGACACTGGACTGATGAGCCACATTCCCAGCCCTATTTTGTATTTTATTTAGAGACAGGGTCTCACTGAGTTACTTAGTGCCTTGCTTTTGCTGAGGCTGGCTTTGAATTCACGATCCTCCTGCCTCAGCCTCCAGAGCTGAGCCACTGTGCCCAGCCTAGTTTGCATTTTCTAAAGTTTTATATAGATGGAATCATATATAAAACTTTCACTGACTTCTTTCACTTTGCATCTTTATTTTGAGAATCATCCCTGTTGCTACATGTATGTACAGTTTATTCTTGTTTATTGATGAACAGTATACCACCTGTAGGAATTTGATCACCTGCATATGGTCATTTTTGTTTTTGTTTGTTGGTTTTGGCTATTGCATATGGTGCTGCTGTAAACATTTGTATGTATGTTTCTGGGGATGTATGTTTAAAATTCTCTTGGGTAAATGCCTAAATTTGGACGAATTGAGTCGTGATATATCTCTAATTTAGATATTTTTTTTTTCATTTCTCTCAGCAGTATTTTGCAGTTTTCATTATACAGATCTTTCACATCTTTTGCTGGACTTACCCCTTTTTCATATAACAGTTTTGAAATATGTCACATACCATGTGATTTACTCATTCTGTGTACATTATTCAGTGTTTTTAAAAATATATTTGCAGAATTGTTCAACTAGCACCACAATCAACTTTAGAACATTTTCATCTCCCTACCCTGAAATACTCTGTACCCATTAGTACATTCCCTCTTCTCTTTGCTCCTGGCACCCTCACTCAGCTACTTCCTGTCTCTTTGTGGATTTGCCTGTTTTGGAATGGGATCATACTGGTCTTTTGTCATTGTTCCTTTTACTTAGCATGTTGTCTTCTGTGTTCATCCATGATACAGCTTTTGGTTCCTTCTGTGGTGGTTAATTTACATTGTACATATAGATCATATTTTGTCTATGCATTTGTTAGGTGACTGACATTGAGTCATTTAAACCCTCTTTTCAGCTATTATGAGCAATGCTGCTGTGAACATCTATATGTTGGTTTCTTTTTTAAAATTTTTTTTAGTTGTAGATAGACACAATATCTTTTTATTTATTTGTATGTGGTGCGGAGAATCTAACCCAGTGCCTCACACGTGGAAGGCAAGCGTTCTACCACTGAGCTAGAGCCCGAGCCCCTATATGTAAGTTTTTGTGTGGACATATGTTTCTGTTTCTCTTTGGTATTTACCTAGGAGTGGAGTCATAATAGTAACATCTGGGTCATAAGGAAACTCTATGTTTAATCTTTTGAGGAATTGTCAGTCTTCCAAAGTGACTGGCATCATTTACAATACCATCATCAATGTACCAGGTTCCACCTTCTCCATATCCTCACTAATTCTTTGTTATCTGTCATCTTAAGTAGGTATGAATGGTATTTCATTGTGGTTGATTTACATTTCTCTAATAATTAGCATTGTTGAGCATCTTTTCTTGTGCTTATTAGAAATTTTTTTGAGGAATGTCTATTCAAAATCTTTGCCTATTTTTTAAAATGAATTGTTCCCCCCCCCCCTCACATACACACACACACACACAATACCTATGTTCATATCTCCAAGTTTTTCTTCTATGTCTGGATCTGTAGACTCCAGATGTAACCAAGAAAATTTTTGATAACTTGCCTTTATTTATTTGGGGGTTGTAGATGGACACAATACCTTTATTTTATTTATTCATTTTTATACATTGCTGAGGTTCGAACCCACTGCCTCACACATGCTAGGCAAGTGCTCTCCCATTGAGCTACACCCTCAGCCCTGATTACTTGCCTTTTTAATTATGGCTGTGAATACTCTTACAGGTTCAAGTTTTTATACATTCAAAACCATTTCTGGTATCTTTTGAGTTTATCTAAGCCATTAATTTGACTAATGAGTCCTACTTTCAAAGCATTTCTAACTGTTCTCCAGAATTTAAGAGTTAGCCTATGTTTCTTAGAAATTCTGAAAACACAGAACAAACAGGAACCAAACTAAGGGGTCTGAGTTATAGCGAGGAATGAAGCAAGAAGGAACACTTCCTTAACATAGAAGGCCCTGGGTTCAATCCTCAACACTGCAAAAGTTTGATAAGTAAGATAATAAGAGAAAAATCTTACATACTTACCCATGTATTTCCCATTTCCAGTGTTCTTCATTTCTTTGTGTAGAGACATTTTTTACCTATTATCATTTTTCTTCTACCCCCTTTTTTTTTCTCAGTACTAGAGCTTGAACCCAGGGGCACTACCACTGAGTTATATCCCCAGCTGTTTTAATAAGTTTATTTATTTTTATTTTGAGACAAGATCTTGCTAAGTTGCCAAGGCTGGCCTCAAATTGCAATCCTCCTACTGTAGCATCCTGGGTAGCTGGTATTACTGGTGTCTACCACCAAGCCCTTCATTTTTCTTCTACCTTGAAGATGTTCTTAAACAATTCTCACAACATGGTTCTAGTGGTAATAGGTTCTTTTAGCTTTTTTTTTTTTTTTTTTCCCCAGTACAGGGAATTGAACCCAGGGCCTTGCACATGCTAAGCAAGTGTTCTACCAGTGAGGTACATCTCCAGTCCTTTTTATTTTTATTTTGAAACAGGGCCTCACTAAGTTGCTGAGACTAACCTCAACTTGATCTTGCCTCAGCCTCCCAAGTGGCTGGGATTATAGATGTGTCCCATTACCACTCCCAGTTTGCCTTTAATTTTTAAAAGACATTTTCTTGGGGAATAGAATTCAAGTAGACAGTTTTTTTTTTTAGTATTTTAAAGATTTTGCCCCTTTCTCTTTTCACTTGTACTATTTCCAATGAGAAATTATAACAAAGTCTCTTTGAAATTAAAAGCCCCAAAGTACTTTTTGCTTCCCAACTTCCTGGTGACTGATTTTCTGCATCCAGAGTTTCTTCATGCTAAGAAAGTAAACTGGAGAAACTACCCTCTGCCCTGGAGCTGTCACCAAGGAAACTAAAATTGTAACAAAGTTCTTGTTAGCACAACCTAGCTAAATCTACATGTGTATATTTTCTGGTTTACGATTTTATAAATTGTAATTGCTTCTATGGGACCACTTCTATAAGACCAGCAGAGACAGATTCGTTGCTTTTCCTCATTTTAACCTAACTGCAATTAAATTCATTTTTCCTTTTATTTCTTAGTTGTGCAGGCACCCAATTCCAGTCAGTCGGAATCTTGGCAGGTTCTCTGGCTTGGTTTCTGGTGACAAAATGTGCTGCCATCTTTATCTTTGTTGCTCATTAGTATATCTTTTTTTTCTCTGACTGCTTTTTGAATTTTCTTTCTTCATTGTTTTTGAGCAATGTTGTTTGTTGTTATTGTTGCTTTATTTGTGGTACTGGGTACTGAATCCAGAGCCTTGTGCATGCTAGGCAAGCACTATCACTAAATTTTGGTGTACCTTGATTAGTTTTCTTATTGTTTTTTTTTTCCTAGAGTTTGTTGAGCTTTTTGGGTCTATGGGTTTATAGTTTTCATTAAGCTGTGAAATTTTATAATCATTTTCTCAAATATTTTTTCCATCCCCACCCCCTCACTGTTGGAGATTTTAATTACATGTATATTAGGCTGCTTTTCATTAAAACAAACAAATAAAAAAATTCTTATTATCTCTGTGTTTTATTTTGTAAATTTCTATTCTTGTTTTCAAATTCACTAATAATAGATTTTGCAGTGTCTAAATCTGTCATTAATACCATTCATTGTATTTTTCATCTTTTATATTATATTTTTTATCTCTATAAATTAACTTAGGTCCTTGTATCTTCCATGTTCCTCCTTAATTGTTTTGAACATATGGAATAGTTATGAGTGTCTTACTGGTCCTTTGACATTTAAATCAGTTCTTGGTTTCCATTGACTATTTCCATCTTTATGTGTTGTATGTATTTTCTTGCTTCTTTGTTTGCCTAGTAATTTTTGGTTGAATGCCAAACATTTTGAATTCACCTTGTTGGGTTCTGGACATTTTCGTATTTCTAGAAATATTATTAAGGTTCATTCTGGATGTAGGTAACTTATTAAGAAAGGGTTTGATCCTTCTGCCTAGTATTTGTTAGGTGAGGACTAATTATTCTCAACTCCTGAAGCATGACCTTCCTTAGAACTTATGCATAGTCCCAGGAATTGTATATATATTTTTTTATCTGTCTTCTGGGAATGGGCACTATTTCCTGCCCTGTGCAAGTGCTGTCTGCTCTAATCCTTTTGGTAGTTCAGACTCAGATAGTTTCCTCAAGTGCATGTGCTGATCTGGCTCTTCCCTCTCTTTCTGTCCCATGAACTCTGGACACCTCAGAATCTCAGCCCCTCCTCTCTTTCACTGGGTCTGCCTTACCTGCAATGTTGGATCCAGGAAACTCTATAGTCAATTTCACCTTGTTCACATCTTGAATCTCGGATCCTTTGTTGCCTAATGTCCAGTGTCTTAATAATTTATTGTTTCATATATTTTGTCTGAATTTTTGGTTGTTTCAGGTGGAAGGCTAAATTTGGCCACTGTTGCTCCATCATGGTCAGACTTGAGAGTTTGACATTGATATTTTAATGATTCCCATCAACCCAAGCTTTTAACTTAAGTGTGGGAATCTTATTTTTTGGACAAGTTTTGGCTAAATTGCCCAGGATGACCTTAAACTTGGCAACCCTCTTGCCAAATGCCCCTGTACCCAGCTGGATTATCATCATTAATCACTTGAGGAAAGTAGATTTTTAAGATGAACTCTTCTGCCAGGTGTGGTAGCACACACTGTAAACCCATCTACTCAGGAGGCTAAGGCAGGAGAATCACAAGTTTGAGGCCACTCTGGGCTATTTGGTGAGACCCTATCTCAAAATAAACTTTTTAAAAGAGATTGTGATTTGCCAGACATGGTGATGCACACCTGTAATCCCAACAGCTTGGGAGGCTGAGACAGGAGGATCCCAAATTCAAAGCCAGCCTCAGCAAATTAGGTCCCAAGCAACTCAGCAAGACCCTATCTCTAAATAAAATATAAAAAAGGACTGGGTAGGGGGCTGGGATTGTGGCTCAGCAGTAGAGCACTCGTCTAGCACATGCGAGGCCCTGGGTTCGATCCTCAGTACCACATTAAAAAAAAAAAAAAAAGGACTGGGGATGTGGCTCAGTGGTTAAGCACCCTGGGTTGAATCCCTGCACACACACACAAAAAAAAAAAAAAAAGTTGGGGGGAGCTGGGTAATATACTTTCGTGATAGAGCACTTGCCTGTCATGTGTAAGCCCTGGGTTCAATCCCATGTACTGCAAGGGAAAAAAAAAAAAAAAAAAAAAAAGAACCTTCTAAAACTTTGTTCTCTAGTCTTGCTTTCTAATAGCTATGAATTTTTGTGTTCTTTTATGTTTTGAATACTTCTGGGTTCATGAAATTTAAGCCCCGCATGCCCTCAGAGATAGTCAAATCCAGGGCCCAGGGTTTACCAATGTACTTCCCAAGGTAAATCAAAGGGATGCCTGGCAATTAATTAACTCTACTAATGGTTCAAGAGTTGGCCTCAAAACCTGAGGATTGAGGCCCTCAACCCTCTGCTAATGACTGGGAGGTCAACTGGTAGCTACATGGCAGGGAATCTGTTTAGACTCTAGGTCTCCCCTTCTTCTCTGGGAGATGATCAACCTTGGACTTAATGTTTCACTTCTAAACTTTGATGTTTTTCAACCTGAGAGGGAGGCAAGTAAATGCCCTGATGAGGCAAGGTCATGTTCATTCTCACTATTTGGAAAAGAGGTGAGCCAGTGAGAAGAGTCTGGGCTTCCCTGAACAGATAGAGATTAGGGGTCCTCTCCCAGGGAGGTGGGTTGCTCCTGGGATACTCCCTATGTAATTGAGGTGTGCACTGAATTTATTCCAAACATATGGTCCTGAAACTAATAGGAGCAAGAGCCAAGTGGGGATTGGTCCCAATGTCATCTTGGAAGGGGATGTGAAGGCTGCAGTATGAGAAGAGGCCTAAGGGCTCCCTCCTTTGAGCAACATAGCTTATTGGACAGTGGGAAGGCCAGGAAGTTGGTGCAAAGCTAGTAGGCAGTGTGGCCTTATGGGCCAGAATACCAGGGTAGATGGGTCAGAGTCACTAACATTATCAGCTTGGCCACTATGAGGGCAGAAGCTAGCCCAGGCCCTTCCCCACCTTCTTTTCAGTTTTATGGGCCCCTGGTAGCCCCTGTTCCCCAGCCCCTGGCCACCTTTCCTGCTGTGCTTATCTTCAGTTCTTTTGTCATTCTAGCTGCTCAACTGGGAAGGAAGGTGGCTGTAGTCGACTATGTGGAGCCCTCTCCCCAAGGTAGGCAGTCCCTGATAGGAACCTTGTGTCCTAGGGAAGGGTTTGGGAGATGGAACCTAGTTCATATATAGAAGGTGACTGATACAAAATCATTTGTCCCCCTCTGTTCATTGTCTCTGGAGAGTGTCCTATTTCAGATGTAAACTGTCTTTATTTTAAAAATTCTTTATCCTCATGTTTAAAATGGTGCTGAACACAGTTACAGAGAGAATATTCCTATGGTATGGCTCACCTGGGCCATGTTTGAATTACAGAACAATGGCCACTTAAAGGGATTCTAAACCACCATAGAGCAGAAGTCCTCCTGTGCGTCTCTGTATATGAATTCAGATGTGATTTTCCCAGGGCTGGGAATATGGCCAATGAAAATAGTGAAAGAGTACTTGCCTAACATGTGAAAGGCTCTGGGTTTGATTCTTGGCACTACAAAAAAAAAAAAAAAAGTGCACTTCCCAATGTTGCAGGCACCAAGTGGGGCCTTGGCGGCACCTGTGTGAATGTGGGCTGCATCCCCAAGAAGCTGATGCATCAGGCGGCACTGCTTGGGGGCATGATCCAGGATGCCCACCACTATGGCTGGGAGGTGGCTCAACCCATCCGGCATGACTGGTGAGGAGCTCATTATGGGAAGTTCCCAGTTCTTTTCTGCTACTCTTAAGTAGAGGAAGAGATTTATTCCCTACTAACTCTCACTGGGAGCAGCTATAGGACAGGAGCTTTCAACTAGGGGTAGCTCTGAACCTGAATCCCCAGATATTTGGCAATCTCTGGAGACACTTTTGATTTTCCCTGGGTCAGGGAAGGATTTGCTTCATTTCCTGAGTAAAACCCAGGGATGCTGCTAAATGTCCTACAGTGCATGGAATAGGCCTACCAAGAATGATCCAGCCCCAAAGGCCAATGTGGGGACATAAAGCCTCTTCGGTTTAGTTCTTTTGGGAAGAAGATTGATGGAGGCAGTAGCACATGGTTCTGCTCAGAGCTCACATACAGGTGACTGAGACAGGTATGACGTCCTGGATGCAGAACCACTATATTTGAATGATTGTGGGCCAAAGCCTGTGTTTCCTGATTTCAAAGATTCATAGCCCCAAACTCTGGTGAGAGGTCATGATGCCCATGAGGAAGAACATCACATTGTACTCCTTTAGACACACTTCTACTTCTTAATATTTAGATAAATGTACTATTTGCATCTAGTCTGTTTGAGATTCCATAGTTAACACTTCTATTGTGGTTTTTACATTTTGTTTTCTGTTTCAAAGGAGGAAAATGGCAGAAGCTGTGCAAAACCATGTGAAGTCCCTGAACTGGGGGCACCGTGTCCAACTGCAGGACAGGTACTGAGACTTCCACAGTCCTTAGTGGCTATGTAGTGAGGCCCTCAGTGGGAAAACTCCCCTCCTGGCCTTCCCAAATTCTATTCATACCTGGACAAGCTCTTTCTGATTGTGCAGAGTAAACCCTGGTAGGCTCTAAATGCACAGCCAAGATAGGACAAGGGGTCCATTCTCCTGGGTGGGAACACAGACAAGGGGTGGACAGAGCAACTGCTGTGGGAAGTGGGGGATGCCCTCGAGGCCCAGAACTGAGTAGAACCCAGGGACAATGAAGAGTTAAAGAGGGACATATATCCAAATAGCCAGAGCCTGATGAGAAAAGAGGTCATTCAGGGACAGGGAGGCCTCAGGCCTGAGGTCTTCCTGGGACTCCACAATGGGCAGCTTCCCACTCAAGCCAGGGAAGCTGAACCAAGGAAGCTGGCCCCCTTGTCCACTGCCTGGACTTCACCAGCCAGTTGCCCTACCAGAAAATTAAGCCACCTTTTGTTACAGTTTTTTGTGTCTTGTCTTTCATATGGAGCTCCATATTCCCAAGTTTGGTTTTCTGAAGGTAGTAGGCTCTGCCATCCTTCTTCTGGCCCCAGGCAGCTCCCAGGCAGGTGCAAAGCAGGCCCAATTCACAGCCACCCCTAAAGGGAGAATAGCAGGGACCTGGGTTGTTTCAGTTTTTCATTATTATGAATAATGCTATGTTCCTCTGTATCACACAGCTGTTTCCTATTGTCATGATAAGTGAAGGGCATGTGTACAGGAGCTTCCTATAGCTCAGATAGCCCAGAAAGGCACAGAGCTTGGAGGTGGAGATAATGCACAATGAGGAGGCAAACCCATCTCCAAACTATTAAGAACTTCTGAGATAGCATTGTCTTTATAATTAGTGTGGGTCATTTCTTTTTTTCTTTTTTCTTTTTTCAGTTGTAGTGGGGATTGAACCCAGGGGCACTCTACCACTGAGCTACACTCCTAATCATTTTTCTTTTTTAATTTATTTTTATTTCATTGATTGATTGATTGTGGTATTGGGGATTGAACCCAGGGCCTTGTGCATGTGAGGCAAGCACTCTACCAACTGAGCTATATCCCTAGCCCCTTATTTTTTTATTTTGATACAGGATTTCACTAAGTCGCCCAGGCTAGTCTCGAACTCACAATCCTTCTGCCTCAGCCTCCTGGATACTGGGATTACAGATGTGTACACTGCCCCTAGCTGCATGGATCATTTCTGCATATTATGCACCTGACCACTGCTGGGCCCCACCAACTACATTAAGCCCCTCCTTCAGGCAACACCAAGTCCTAAAGGCAGAGAGGGTGGCACCTACATGATAGGCACCTTAGTTTCTTGTTGGTACATGCCTAGGCTTAAGGCCTGGCCCTTGTCATTGCCTACCAGGGCTTGAACATGGGTTTTCAGGACAGTTCTGAGTTGACTTTTGTCCCTGCCTTGACACCTATGGTCACCATGTACCAGGAAAGCATAGAGAATTGGCAAGATGCCCTTCATACCCTCATGTTTCCCAGCATGGTATTCTGCTCATGTTCATACAAGCACCTTAGCATAGGTACCAGATCCTGGGCTGGACCTTGCCTTTTTTGCTTTTTTTTGTTTTTTGTTTGTTTGTTTGTTTTATTTTTTTGCAGTATTGGGAAGGATCCTGGGGCCTTATACATGCTAGACAAGTTCTCTATCTCTGAGGTATATTCTCAGTTCCAAAGCTTATCTTTTAGCAGTCTATACAATGATATCCATTCTAATCTGATCACTGAATTTTAATTTGCAGAGGAAATGTTGAAAATCCTTATTTTTGTTTTTGCAGAAAAGTCAAGTACTTTAACATCAAAGCCAGCTTCATCAATAAGCACACTGTTTGTGGCATCGCAAAAAGTGGGAAAGAGGTAAATGCTCACCTTGCCCCTCATGATTCTCTCCAGGCATTCTGAGGACCTGGGGTCCAGTCTTGTTCAGCTTAAGTGTTGTTCTAGTAATAAGCACTGCTGGAATTAAACTAACGACTTCCTTTGAGGTCACACTTCTTCAAAATGATTAAATAGGGCTGGGAGATTAGCTCTGTGGTAGAGTGCTTGCCTAGCATGCGTCAGATCCTGGGTTCCAACACTAGCTCTGCCAAAAAAAAAAAAAAAATATTTAACAGTTTGTGCATGGGATGCACATCATGTCAAGCTGCCCAGCTATTCAGGGTGATGGGCTGACAGGGAGCATGATTACAACCTCTTTGCAGAATTTTGTAGTGATTTGAGGAGATAAGATGCCTGCTGGGTACTTGTAAATTGTGAAGTGCTTGGAGTTGGAGTATCACCCTGTCCCTTCCACCTGTAACCTCCTGTTGTCTCCTGTCTGAAAGACTTTTGACAGATCCCTGCTCTGTATGACTCTGAGCTACTGGTAGGGGGCTATAGTGAAGGGTACTGTTGTCCTGCCGTACCAGCAGGCATTTGAGCCTTTTGTTGGGTGATCATAGTATACAGTTTGATCTGCAGCTTTCTTGGTTTATTCTCAGACTCTGCTTTCAGCTGACCACATCGTCATTGCTACTGGAGGACGGCCGAGGTACCCCACACACGTGAGTGTCCCCAAAACCCAGCTTCCCCTGCACCCCTGAGCAAATTAATGGTCCTTAGAATTACATGCTTCCCACATCAAAGCTTTCACCCCTTTGTTTCTTCTATACATCTTTATTTCCTTTTCAGTTCTCTCTCGAATCCATTCTGCTGAAACTGGAGGTCTCCAGAGATCTCTTCTATTGCTGAATCCTCAGAATTATTCTTATTGCACTCTTTAGTTAGATCCTGGGTATCACTGAGCCTGTTTTCCTTTCATACTAGTGTTCCTTCTCCTCTTCCATTTTCTCCCCTCCTCCTCCTTTTCTTCTTCCTCCTCCTCATTCTTTTCTCCTCCCTCTCCCCTCCCTTTCTTTCTCTTCCTCTCTTCTTCCCTCCCTCCCTCTCTATTTTTAAGTGATAGAGTCTCACTGTTTTGCTCAGGCTGGCCCTGAACTACTCTGCTCAAGTGACCCTCCTCTTCAGTTTCTTTATAGCTGGGACTGCAGGTTCATGCCAACACATCCAGCCCTAGTGACCTTTCTTCTAAGTCTTCATTGTTGACTCTTCCTTTTCTCTTTAACCTCAGAATGTTGGAGCATGGAAAATTTAAGCCTTTTTTATCTTTCTTCTCCTCCCCCACTTTTAAAAAATTTGAAATAAATTCAAATATCCTAAATTCACCCTTTTATAAATACAATTCAATGGCTTTTAGTACATTCATAGAGTTGCACAACCATCAGTCACCAACTTCCATCTTCAGAACTTTTTAATCATCCCAAACAAAGTCTCTGCACCCATTAAACAACAGTTCTCTGTCCTTTTCTCCCCCAGCCCCTGATGGCCACCATTCTCCTTTCTGTCTCTATGAGTTTGAGTATTCTAGATACACAAAAAAGTGGGTTCACACAGTTTGTATTTTTGTGACTGGCTTATTTCAAAGGCTCATCCATGTTGTTGTAGTATGTGCCAGAATTTCCTTTATTTTTTAAGCCTGAATGATACTCCAGTGTATGTGTAGATCACATTTTATTTATCTACTTGTCCACAATGAATATCTCAGTGGTTTGCTGTTTTTTAACTATTATGAACTGTGCTGCTGTGGCTATCTGTGTAAAAGTTTTCTGGGGGATTTGGTTTTTATTTCTCTTGTGAATTTACTTAGGAAAGGAATTCAGATCATATGGTCACTGTAACCTTTTGAGGAACTACCAGATGGTTTTTCAAAGTGGCTATACCATTTAGCAGTGTTCAAAGCGGTGTACATTCCCTCCAGCAATGAACAAAGGCCACAATTTCTAGTTTCTTTACATATCTTATAATTTTTTGTGATAAGTTGAACTTTTCAAATAATGTGAGTTATTGTGATAATGCTGGAAATCAGATTCTCCTTCCTCTCTAGAATTTTTCTGTTGTTTTGCTGTTTGGTGACTTATTTGAACTAATTTTATAAAGTATTTGCTCTTTGTTATATGTGGCTACTGAAGTCTGCTTGCTCAGTGAAAGACTTAAGTAGAGAGTTCCTTAAACATCTGGAACCATGAAACCTCCCAGTCTTTGTTGAGGACTATGTCCATTTTCAGGGTGCTGTCAACACTCAGTTGGACAGTAAATAACTCTATTTTGCTTCCTGCTTGTGCAGAGATTAAGGTTAGCCCAAGATGAGAGCCCTTAGTCTTTCCTGATGTGTGCACAACCCAATGCATTTGCCTGGCCTTCTAGATACCCAGAGATATTGTGGAGCTTTTCAGAGCACCTGTGAATATTCATTCCTCAATTTTTCTTTTTCAACTTCTTGGTTCACCTGTTGTTTGCCTTACCTGTTATCCATCACCTCAGGAAGCCATGAAGATAAAATGTTGGCCAGATGCCCAGGGAGAGGCTTTTAGCACTGGCCATACTGGAGTAAAGTTACGACCTACCAGCCAGCTCAAATGCTAGTGTTCTTTGGGAAAGAGGCTTTGCAAGGCACCCAGCTCTGTCTTGCTATCTCTGGTGCTGTCATTTTTTAAGACTGAGAGACAGGACTAGGGTAAGTTAAACTCTCCTCATAGAGATGCTGTTCTTATTGACTTCCCTCTGTTTCTCTTGATTCAGTATTCCCTGTGTTGCTGTGAGTTCTTAGTTGATTTTTCAGAGCTCTGAAAAGGTGAATCTGGCCAGACCCAATGGTGAATGCCTGTAATCCAAGTGACTTGGGAGGCTGAGGCAGGGGGATCACAAGTTCAAAGCCAAACTCAGCAACTTAGCAAGGCTTAAAGCAACTTAGCAAGGCTTAAAGCAACTTAGTAAGGCTTGAAGCAACTTAGCAAGACCCTGTCTCAAAATAAAAAATAAATGCTTGACATGGTGGTACACACCTGTAATCTCAGTGGCTCAGGAGACTGAGGCAGGAAGATGGAAAGTTCAAAGCCTCAGCAACTTAGCAAGGTCATGAGAAACTTGGTGAGACTTTGTGTCAATATAAAATACAGAAAGGGCTGGGGATGCAGCTCAGTATTAAGTGCCCCTGGTTCAAGCCTCAGTACCAAAAATAAATAAAAAGGGCTGGGGATGTGGCTCAGTTCCTCAGGATCTCAGTCTCAGATCCACATTGAGCACCCCTGGGTTCAATCCCCTTTACAAAAAAAAAAAAAATTTGAATCTGAACTTTCTTGCCGGTTTTTTCTCTGCTTTCACAGAGGGTTGGATTTTGGGAGGTCCTATTCTGATGACATCATCTCCTGGCCCAGTCTTCTGGGATGAGGGGGCTTTTCTGTCCTCCTGGAGGGCAGAGTTGAGGAAGGGGCCACAGAGTGAGCTTGGGTGGGGATATGGAGGAGCTGCTACAGGGAAAGTAAGAAGCAGGAACAGGAATTTGGCTAAGGCTACATCCTTACAAGTCTCTCAGGGACCTAGATGTTACCAGCCCTCAACATGTTAGCTGCAAAAAAGCTCATGAAGCCCACAGGTCTCATGGTCCTGTAAGCCACACCAGCCTCTGATTAGACCCAGGTGGAGCTTGGATGGAGGAAGAACAAAGGGTTCCTTTTTAGATGGGAACAGAGACGTGTGAACATCTAAACCCTCAACTTCTACTTCTGTTCTGTGCTTGCCCTAAAAAATGGGGAAGAAAAGAGACCAGAGTAATATGAGTTCCCCCAGTCCTCAGAGGGCCATGGGACCTCTGTCTGGCAAGTCAAAAAGAGCAATCTCTAAGGTGGCACTAGCTGCTTGTGCACAGAGGTGGCCCTTAGGCAGACTGCTTGGCTCCATAGATGACACAGTGCCATCGTTCAAGTTTGATTCAGTGGACAGGATTGAAGTGACCCCATCAGCCAGGAGTAAGGCTCTGGTGGTTGTAAGTCCCCAGGGCCATAGTCACCTCAGCTCCTTAAGGGTGCTGAGCAGAGCTGTATATGCCCCCATGCTTCAGTGCCCTATGGACATTCCTTGGCCTGCTCCACCCTGCTGTACTGCTGGTGTCTCTGCTTTCCCACAGGAAACTGGAGCTACGATTCCCAGGTCCTGGAGAAGGCAGCTCAGTGGCTGATCCACTCTCTCCACTGCCCACTGCTATCCCTGGTGTGCATTCCTTGAGTGCATGCCAAAACTTGCTTCTGTTTAAGTCCCTTTGATTTTCAGACCTTTTGTTTTTCCTTGTGCAAACTGGAGAAATTCATGACTTTATTTTATTTTGGCCAGTTGGAATTGTAAACTGTTTGAAATCTATTTCCTCTCCACCAGCACATCTTAACTTTCATAAGGCCAAGAGGATGCATGACCTTGGGACTCCCCCACCTGCTTAGCTGCCCCATATCAAAGGATCTATATCATTCCTGGGCACAGAACTCATCCTAAATGGTCTCAGAGGGATTTCTGGTGTGTCTAGCCTGCAATCTCGTGTCCTCAAAACCATCAACTCCCCATGTCCTACCTGTTCTCAGCCCGTGATGCTTATCCTCTTCTTCTGTCCTACTCTGGTGCCTGGCCCCTGTCACTGGGACATTGCAGAGCTCTCCTGATCTCTGATTTTCTTTCTTTCCTTCCTACTTTTGAGCCCAAGGCCTTGAGCGTGCCAGGCAAATACTCCACCACTGAGCTAAAACCCCAATCTCTGATTTTCCAACCTCTTTACCCACTTCTCTCTCATACTGGACCCCCAGACCTGAGCATTACTCCCTTGGTCTGCATGCCCCCATCTCCTCCCTTACTGAGTACCCAGACAGAGTCATGGGAGGACCAGCTCTCTGTCTGTGTGGCCCCTACAGCTGCCATGCTTTTCTAAGGCCCCATGCTCTTATCTGCATCAAGGTCAAGTGGAAAATTTCAGAGAGCAGAAAGAGCCACCCAGGCAGACACACACTGAATTTGATATATAGACAGGTCACTTTCTATCCCCAGAGAGGTTACAACCTGAAGACAAGTTCCATTGTTCAAGTTTGAAGAGAAACCTTCTCCACGTGTGGGCTGGGTGTGATTCTGGTTGTTTCTTCAAAAGAAGCATTCTCTTTGAGGAGGTTCTTGGGACAGACCAAATGGCATTCCTGTCATATTGATCTTCTTTTCTTTGATAGATTGAAGGTGCCTTGGAATATGGAATTACAAGTGATGACATCTTCTGGCTGAAGGAATCCCCTGGAAAAACGTAAGGTCTAGCATGCCCAGGATGAGAATCCTCTTTTTGCTCGCTAGCATCAGTGTCTGTTAGAGTCCATGGCACTGTTCACTTCTCAGTCCATTCTTTCCAGTTTTTCTAGAAGAATGAAGAAAGAGGGGCTGGGGATGTAGCTCAAGTGGTAGCGCGCTCACCTAGCATGTGTGAGGCACTGGGTTCGATTCTCAGCACTACATAAAAATAAAATATTGTGTCCACCTAAAACTAAAAAATAAATATTAAAAAAGAATGAAAAAAAGAAAGACTTTCATGTGTGCCTCTCTGCAGGGCTGTTGATGCTGTGTGCTATGACTGTTTTAGAAGTTATAGCACAAATGTCACATAAAGTGAGTCAGCCATTTATTATCTAGGTCAGTAGTTGTTCAGCATGGTTCCCCGGAACCCTAGAGTTCCTTAGGGACATCAGGGAGGGCCTCAATCAAATGTCCTCAGTATCATTTGCTTGAAATCTAGAAAAAGATCCAAAAGCCTCAGGAGTTACATCCCACTTGATACCAGCAGCATGCAGTTGGCACACATGCATTAAGTACGTCCACATGCTCACAGTGCAACTGGTCCAGGGGTCCCAGGTCCAGGCAGCTTCTGATGGCTACAAGTGTGACTTCCAGCTTGCAGGGACCAGAGGAACCACCAGAGGGCAGCAGAGGCTTGTTTGATAGCAGTGTTTGGCCATAAGGAAATCCTGGTAGAAAAGTCCCAGAGATGGGCAGTGTGTGTGTGTGTGTGTGTGTGTGTGTGTGTGTGTGAGAGAGAGAGAGAGAATGCAGGTGTGTATGTGTGTGTGTGTGTTGAAATGTATTTGTGGGGAGTGTCTGTGTGTGTCACATGCTCTACTTGCCTTCAGTAATTCACACTAAATGAGGTGGCATCTTTGGGATCAGGTCTGGAGTCTCTTAAATGGTTGTGGTATTGTTTCTTTGACCTTTCTATCATGAATGAATATCTCAGTAGTTTATCTTTCTTACCTTGTATCATAAATATTACTTATTCATTTTTTCAATTATTAAAATGATGAAAAATACACATAAAATTTACCATTTTGCTGGTGGCATGTGCCTGTAATCCCAGCTAGGCTGGAGGATCACAAGTTTGAGATCAGCCTCTTTAACTTAGAGAGGAGGCCAGCCTCCTTAACTTAGAGAGACCTTATCTCTAAATAAAATTTAAAAAGGACTGAGACCAGCTGGGAATATAGCTCAGTGGTATATTCCTAACATATGTGAAGCCTTGGGTTCAATCCCGAGCACTGCAAAAAAAAAAAAAAAACAGTGGGGGGTTGCTGGGGGCAATATAAGACAGTGGTAGAGTGCCCCTGAGTTAAATCTCTAGTATCATAAATTTTTATCATTTAGACCTTTTATTTATTTTTTAAATATATATATATATATTTTAGTGGTAGTTGGACACAATATTGTATTTTATTTTTTTATTTTTAAATGGTTCTGAGGATCGAACCCAGGACCTCACATGTGCAAGGCAAGCACTCTACCACTGAGCCACAACCCCAGCCCCATCACTTTGACCTTTTAAAGTCTACAGTTCAGTGATGTCAAATACACTAATAATTGTTGGGTAACTATTACCATCATCCATTTCCAGAACTCTTCATTTTTGCAAATTGAAACTCTGCAGTACACCTCATCCCCACACCCCAGCCTCTGGAACCACCATTCTATTTTCCATTTCTATGAATTTGACAATTCTCACTACCTCCTGTAAGTGAACATACACAGTATTTTTCCTTTTATGACTGGCTTATTTTGCTGAACATCATGTCTTCTAGCTTTCTGCATATTGGAGAATGCATCAGAATTTCTTTTCTTCTTAAAATTGAATAATATTGCATTGTATATATCACATTTTATTTGTACATTCATCCAGTATGTGCTTGGGCTCTCCCACCTCTTGGTTTTTATGAATAATAGTGCCTTGAATATGGGTATACACATATCTATTTGAGTCCCTGCTTTTGATTCTTTTGGATATGTACCCAGAAGTAGATTTGCTAGATTTATGGTAACTGTACTTTTTAAGAAACTTTAGCTTTATAAGAAACTGCTAAACTGTTTTCCATAGCAGCTTCAGCATCTTACATTCTCATTAACAGTGCAGTGGGGTTAGAATGTCTCCATATCCTCACCAGTTATTTTCTGGTCCTGATGGGATGAGGTGGTCTTATACATTTTATATATACCTTTCAGGGGTCTTTCCTACACGTAGAAAAGCTGACTCCAAAGGCAGATGCCCTTCAACCTCAACATATGGCTGGCTATACCCTGTCCTACATGTATTTCTGCCTACTTCTCCATTATCCCCCATAACTTGGGCATCAGCTTTTATTTATTTATTTATTTTTGTACTAGAGATTGAACTCAGGGGTGCTTAATCACTGAGCTATACCCCTAGTCCCTTTTATTTTTTGAGATAGGGTCTCCCTAAGTTGCTTAGGGCCTCACTAAATTGCTGAGGCTGGCCTTGAACTTGTGATCCTCTGCCTCAGCCTCTTGAGTTGCGGGAATTATAGGCATGTGCCATCACTCCTAGTGCAACAGCTTTTTTATAAGATATAAAATAGAAAGGACCCTCTCTTCCCATTCCAGTGGAATGGTCATGATACCTGTTGCCTATGGCACTTCATCCTCTCCCTAAAATTGTAGCTGAGCTCATCCTAGTTTGTATCTGCCTGTCTGCTGCCTCTCACAGGATCCCCAGATTAAGGTTTATCTTTTGAATTGGTGATATTTTTTTCAAATTTTTTATTTATTTTTGTGGCAGTGCTAGAGATCAAACCCAGGGCCTTATAAATACTCGGCAAGCACATTACCATTAAGCTACATGCTCAGCCTAAATTTTTGTCACATTATCACTATTTCCTTTTTTCCTTTATGCTGTAATTTTTAGGTTTTTTGTTTGTTTGTTTGTTTGTTTATTTTATTTTTTCAATGCTGGGAATTGAACCCAGGGCATTGCACATCATATGCTGGGCAAGACTACATCACTGAGCTATATCCCCATTCCCTTAACTGGTCGTGTGTGTGTGTGTGTGTGTATGTGTGTGTGTGTGTGAGAGAGAGAGAGAGAGACTGGGGATTGCCATCCTTCTGACAGGCTCCTGAGTCACTGGGATTCTAGGCATATACTGCCACACCTACCCCCTTATCTGTTTTTGTTGTTGTTATTGTTTGTTTGTTTTTACCTTTTACTCCTTTTACTGTCTGATAGGTTATATGGGCCACAATCAGTCATCTTTTTGAGTATTTATTGGCTGTGTTTGAAATTGAGAGTGTGTTCTATGAGCATGTGAGTATGTACATGTTTGTGTGAATTAACTGATTGGTCCTTGACCTGCTTTCTATTTGGTTGTTGATGACTTTTTTTTCCCCCCTGTACCAGGAATTGAACTCAGGGGCACTTAGCTACATCCCCAGTCCTATTTATATTTTATTTTGAGGCAGGTTTTCTCTTAAGTTAGTTAGGGCCTTGCTAAGTTACTGAGACTGGCTTTGAACTATTGATCCTTCTGCCTCAGCCTCCCAAGTTGCTTGGATTATAGGCGTGCACCACTGTGCCTAGCTGATTCTCCTTCCCTCCCCCCACCAATTCCCTTATCTTTTTCTTATCTTCCAGCTGTTTTGTATTTTAGAAATGCGACCCTGTGTCATACATGGTGCAGATTTTCTCAGCTTCTCATGTCTTTGAACTTGTGATGTACAAATGGTTTCCTTTTTTTTTTTTTAATGTAACTTAAATCTCTTTTTACATTTAATGGCTTTTAGATTTATTACATGCTCAGAAAGGCCTGCGTCACCTCCAAGATTTTTTTTTTTACATTGATTTCTCTTGGTAGAATTTATTCATGCTTTCCAGCTTCTTCATAGTGCTTTATGTGCTAGACCCATCATGAAACAATCTTGAAGATTCAATAACCCTGGAAGCCAGGCCCTGCCAGACACCTCTGTCCAGGCTGAGGCCTCCCATAAGCTCAGGTCAGTGTCTTGAACTGTCACCAAAGACTAGCATTTTCTGAGTTATGATCAGAAAATAGGTGTACACAGACTGTGGATGTACACAGCAGTGTAGCCCAGGAAGGACCTCCCTCTAGTGAGATGGTACAGGATTGGGGGACCTCTCCTATGTGACCTTGTTCTAGGGGCAGCCCACTCAGCTAGGAAGACAAGGCTTCAGATATTTTGGTCAAGAAAGAAACTTCAGTGTTTATTTTCTTCAGGAAAAAAAAAATTCAAAGTTTTTTGTTTTTTTTTTTAAAGCTCTTTCGTTTAGAAGGAATCTAGGTATGTTATTGTTAAGAAAAAAAGTGTTTGCAATGTATCAGTCACCCGTTTAGTTCTGAGCATGATTTATGTGAGGAAATGGTTTTTTTAAAAATTAAGCTGGAGATATATCCCTGTACGATGCTTCTGTGAAAATGCAGCTTTTGTCCAGCGCTGTTAATGCAAGTTGTAACAGTGTAATATGGGAGTCAGTGTTTACATGTTACATTCCTCCGCAGCAGTCAAAATAAGCCCGGAGGGTCTACAGTAGCATTTCTGTATTTTATCAGCTTGGGCTGGGGCTGAGGGGGAGGCCTCCACTCACACTTGGAGGGGCTGTTTCTGCCAGATTTATTTGCCTTATAAATATTCCCCATGTTTATTTTAACTCGCCTTTAAAATGGAGCTGAAATTAATATGGACCTTAGGGCTGCCCCTCTGGCCCCAGAGTGCCCTGGAGCCTGGTGGGGACATTTTGACTTGGCCCCATCCAGGAGGCCAGTTCAGTGGCTGAGGATATTCAGCTTCCTTGGGCCTCTGTCTGCAGTGGACACTACATCTACTGGTTGACATTTCGGTACTAAGGATGGGTCATTTCTGTCCCAACCCATGTCCTTGGGGAGTTGTGCAGCACAAAGACTTCCTTTCCTCTACTTGTATGTGCATAAGCAGCTGCACCATGGTAGAACTTTCTTTCAG